TAATTATGACATATACATGGGAAAATTCTATTCGCCTTTTTGATCAGTTTCATATTTTTCTTTGTTGAGGAATGAAATATTGTATTCTAAGTGTAGATTTTGCATTTGAAAGGAAACAAGAAGGACATTGAATTCGTGAAAAGTAAATGGTATGCAATCCACACAATGTGTCCTATCTATGTGTTTATTTTAGACTTGTTAATTATGTTCTAGTTTTTGTTATAAAATTTGGAGTGTTTATATTGTTTTAGTTGTTCTAGTTAATTACGTTGATAGCCTTCTTAATATCATATATGGGGTTTGTGGTGTTACATTAATTGGGTATTGTCATTCCTGTCTTGTTCATCATCTATAGCCAGCATTTTACCTTTTAATCTTAGAAAAGTAAATTACTGAAGTTAAAATTTGTGTGTGATAATTCTCTCAGGATATGGCTTGCGACACATTCTTGAAAATTGTTCAGAAGTACAAGCGTAAATTTGTTATTGTACAAGTAACATTATTTCAATCTTGTTGGTCAAGTGTCAATTCTCCATATTGGATATAACTTCGAATGTGTCATGCTTTTCTTCTATTGTTTTCCAGATTGGAGAAAGTGAACCATTTGTATCTGAGCTTCTAACAAGCCTTCTTACAACTATAGTTGATCTTGAGCCCCATCATTCATTTTATGAATCAGTATTTTTGGTGGAGTTTTCTATGAATTGTAACATTGTTGGAGCATTCTCAACATGTAGAATGCTGATTTCAGTAAAGTATTTTTAGATCTATGAGGTTACACAGTTTTAATAATACTTTGATAGGTTGGAATTTGTAGAAATTTGAATTGCTTTCTTCTTGCAGGAACTCATAGACGTCGAAGGTGATGGAATGGCTGATATGGTATTTCGTTGTATTCAGGAAATGGACATTAATAATCGAATGATAGTATGTAGGTCATTTTGTAAGCAATAATTCTTATAGTTTTTTACTTAAAAGCATTTAGTATTATCAATCTTAATAGTTATAACAATGACATATATATCCTACAACTTTGATGAAGATACAATTGTCTTGCTATATAGATTTTTTCTATACCATGTGACCACTTCATGTCTTGTATAATATACACTTTGTAAAGTAGTTGAATTTATTTTCAAGTATCTTTTAACCCCTAATTTGTTTTGTTTTTCGCAACTCTACCAGCACATAGTTTTAAGTGGAGGGAGTACTATATATCTTGGATTGCCTAGTCAGTAATAAATTTAAATCATTTTTGCATAAATTAAAATCATTATGTTGCTTTCTTCTTGGTGATATGATGAAACCATATTAATTTTGGAATCAGCCCTTGTAAACCCACATGAAAAATATCGAAAAAGCGGTGTGGCGATACCTGTGTCAATTATGGGATGATAAGATGTACCAGGTAATGTTTTGAATTTTAAATATTAAAATTATTCCTTGTAAAATACATGCTGAAATTGATAATAGAAGTTAATACCTTTGCATATGCTACAAATTAGATTTAATTGTTGAACACACTTGTAATGCAGTTGCACACACTTGTGCTGAGGCTGTAGCTCTTGTGTAAACTTCTTGTACTTGAGCTGCTAATGATGCTACACTTATAATAGAAGTCAAATAATTTTTTTAAAAATTTTTTCTTTCAATTTGCCCAAAAATCTAAGCTTTTATTTGCTTCAAATGTCTTAGTTAAGTACTTCAAGGTTGATATCCATTTTTGGATTTCATCTACATCTCTTTTATATTTTTGAACTTTGTTTACACTTGTGATTATGATCATGTGTGCAGGATTTTCATCCTTTTTCTATGACTATAGACGGTGATAAGCTTTTGTGGTCGTGGAACAACTAATTGTGTAGGGCATGTTGCTTTTGTAACTGAACTTGTGAAGAGGTAGTGCGAGAAAAAGACAAAGTTGAAGTTGTCATAGAGTTCTACCTCGTACAATGTTGAACTATTTTGATCTTGTTTTGGGATTTAACTCATATAATGAACTATGTTGACGTAAATTTGGATACTTAGAGTTTTGATTTTTGTAATTTGTTTTTTTGTATATACAAGAATAGATTTGATCTTGTGTGCAAGATTTGATCTTGTTTTTTTTCTATATACAGAGATAAATTTGGATTATGGATGTCAATTTGTAGCTATGAAATTGAATGTTTTCAAAATGTTATTTCAAACCTTTAGTGACTAAATATATTTATTGTTAAAAATATCACTATTTTGCTTTTTGCGACCAAATGGAGACATTTGTGACAAAGTATTAGCGACAAAATATTTTAGTTTTGCAAAATCCAACATTTTGTGACAATATAAAATTGGTCGCTAATTGTTATTTTCAGTGACATTTTCAAAAATTCATCACTAAAGACTTTTCTAGACGCACTTTTAGTGACTTTTTTAGTGACGAATTTAATTTTGTCACAAAAAATATTTAGAGACTAAAATAATGATTTTAGGGACCAAAATAATTGGTTGCCAAAAGTCTTATACGTTGTAGTGCAAGTTTCAATGTTTCTAAATAACTAATTATTCTGTTACATTTTTTCAGTTGCAAATTAAATATCAAAATGTTAAATATAGTAATTATATATTTTTGTCTATTATACATATCATATTATATTTATTACCATACTTAGAATTATTATATTTATGTTTCTCTCCTCCTATATAAAGGATTCTTGTATATATTGTTAAATCATTTAATATATTATAGATTTCTATCTCTTCTCCATCTCTTAGATATTATAATATGATATTAGAGTTATGTTAAGTATCTAATAATTTTACTTAATCGGCAGACGACAGCTTTGCATTAGCTGCCCGTCGAACCTCAACTCAATCCACTTCCATATTTTTCTTTCAGTATTGTTTCGTGGTGATATTTTCCTTTGTCCGCTAGTTTCTCTATATTTCTCCATCACTAGCCAAAATTCCACTACATCTACCAACTCCGACCATTGCTGCCGTTTGACATTGCTGCTCACAAACCCACCGCCATCTCAATATCATACTATATGTTTTATTATTTTTTTCTTCATTCTTTCAATGGCAAAACCAACACAACCACCAATTTTCTATTTTCCTCTTTACTTTATCACATAAATTTTGTTCTCCACTTTCATTTTTTTACACATTTATTTATTTATTATTCCCACCATCACATGGGATTGCTTCCACCAACCCATTCAAATTTTTTTTTTCTTTCTTTCCAAGAAAAAAATTATTTTTTATATAACACAAAAAACAAATCTCTTCCGTTCCACTTTGTCTTTCCCTCTGCTTCAACTTCAAATAGATTTCTATCCTTAAACTTATTTGAGTTTGAGAGGGTATTATACCTATATCATGGTGAGCATGGTTATACACCATGTAAACCAACCAACCCGCCCTCTTGGGGCACTACCTAAGTCGTCTCCTTGGCGTACTTCCTAAACCGCCCCTTGGCACACTCCCTAAGTCGCTCCTTTGTCGCACTTTCTAAGTCGCCCTGTTGGCTCATTCCTAAGCCGTCCCTTTGGCTCATTTTTTTTTTCCTTTTCCAAGCTTCCTCTTGGTGTACATGGTTCCTTCCCGAGCCACCCCCTGACACAGTTCTTTTATTTATTACCATCATCATTTAGCACCACGTCATAAGTTATGTGTGCCTCACGTTTACTGGTTTAACATCCAGTTCTTCTTCAATATTCCGACATAACGTTAAAAACTATCATTCGATTGAGATTTCTTTGCTCTTGGCTTCTTCTATGACGATTCAGCACGACCTCACCAAAAACTATTTTCCGAGCACACTTTTCGCCGCTCCTAGACGATCTAGCACGATTTCACCAAAAACTATCTTCTGGGTGCATCTTTGCCGCTCCTAAATGATCTGACACGACCTCACCAAAAAATGTGCTCTGGGCACATCTCTAGCCAAGCTTCTAAAATGGTCCTACAGGACTATAAACTGTCCTTCGACATCTGTTGGCTTTGGTCCAATTCCTACAACGGCCTAAGACGCCCATAAACTGTCTCATGGCATTAGCTCCGTTAGCTCTGGCCTTGTTCCTACAACTGCCTTAAACGACCATAAATTGTCTCTCGGCATTAGTTTCAGCCTCTAATCTATCTCAATCGCCTCTGTACTTCCATCCGGACTTTGTAATCTATTTGTCTCTATCTATATTTTTAATTTTATTTCATGTTTTAGTTTCTCTCTCCAAACTCAAATTGGATCCCTACTTGAGTTTGAGGGGGTGTTAAATATAATAACTATGTATTCTGTCTATCATACATACCATATTTTTTTTTTTATCGGCAAAAAAAAAACCTTTATTGATGAAACAAGAACACATTACATCAAGAAATGAAAAGGGATGGATGCAAAAAGCATTATAGCAAGACATACCAATCCCAATTAGGTTGGCACTAGTACGCCCGCCCAATCCCTTGTTAGCACACCATCCAGAGTTGGCAAGAAGCCAACCAAACACAAGAAAAAACAACAAGCAAGAACAAAAACAGCACACAGCAGCAGTTAACCTCTGATTTCAAAGACCAAGACAAACAAAAACTAATTATATCAAAACGCTATCATGCATACCATATTATATTCATTACCATACTTATGATTTCGATATTTAGGTTTTTCTCTTCTTATAGAAAGGAGTCTTATATATATTATTAAATCATTCAAAATAATACATATTTTTGTCTCTTAGATATTGTAACAATATGATTTTTATAGACATCCTTCTTGCTTACAAATACAAAGAAGGAAAGTTTGTGAACAATAGGATCGAGGCAACGAAAAGTAAGTTATAAAAAAAAAGGAGTAGAAATGATATATTTCGTATCTGAATTTTTAATTATTAGACAAAAGGTATGAATCCCATATGTAATTATTAATGTGGATCTTATTATATTTAAGTCTAATAATAAGAAAATTGGATGAAAAATTCATTTATGTAGACTAAAAAAAGTCACACCGAAGTGAAACAGTCATGTAGTAGAAACAAAAACACGCCTCTATTTCAATATATATATATTCATATTGTTTCACAATTTCTGAATCACACAACAACAAAACAAGCAAAATAACCTAATTTACACAATTGAACTTAATAGCTAGTTACAGTGAGTATACCATATTTCATTCATCTCTTTCTCACCAAGAAAAAAAAAAAAAAAAAAAAAAAAATACCATTATCTTATAAAAAAAAAAAAAATCATATACCATTATCTTATACATTTTTTTTTTTTCTTTTCAGTTTGCTAAATCAAATGAAGTTTCAAAGCGGTCCAAAGTTTCTAATCGAGTGCTGGTTCTTCTCCGGTACATTTCCTGTGTGTAGAAGTCCTAGAGTAAGGGACACGTCACCTGCCGGAGTACTACCTAGTCTAGCACCTGCAGTACTAAAGTTTCCCAACTCGACTATGCTCTCATGACGACACATGTCCTCCATGGTAGCACCCCAATTACGTAAGGTGGAATCATGAGTTGAACTAAAACTGTGATAAATACTTGGTATCACATCATGGCATGAAGTGCTAAAGGTGTTGGTGGTGGTGGCGGTGACGGTGGTTGCAGTATCTTGGAACATTACTTCATTTCCCAAGGAATAGTGCCTATGCTTGATGGTGTTCTGTGATCTGTCCTTTCTTGGTGGTGGTGATGGCGGTGGTGTTGTGGTGGTTGCAGTACTATGCATCGGTGTTTGTGCAGAGTTGGTGTTTGGGTGGTCTTCGGAATTGGCTGCATCTTTTGCAACTGTTTCTTGGTCTTCTTCGGCCTCTTTTTGGTACATGTCCTCAACCATGGGCTTCCACAACCGAACCCTCGCATTAATGAACCAGTTCGACACCTGAAACCAAGAATTTAAAGCGATAAAGAAGGAGAATATCAAAGCGGATGAGTAATAAATGGCTACAGAGTGGGTGTGTGTTGTGTTTTGATTCTTCATGTCTGAGGTGCTTCATGTAGCTCATGAAGTGAATTTTGGTGTGGAGAAATGTCAGAAATACATCAGTAAAATTAATCAAAACAGTCCATCCTATTGTAAATTTAACACTTGAATGTTTTGAAACAAAAAAATAAAAATAAAAAGTGCTTCAGTAATTGCTCCAGTTAAATGAATCAAGAAGAAAACTATTCTCTGCATAAACTTCCACCTCTTTTACCTGTAGCAATACTAGTTGGCAAAGATTCTCCCTACACAAATCTCAATTTCTTGTGTCCAATTCACACTTGTCGGATGATACAGTGAAAATCTCAAAATATCATATGCACAGATAACATAGTATGAATCTCAAAGCACAAAAATCTAGTCTTCTTGAATTTTTACATATTGGGTTTATTTAGCCCAATTTTAAAAAATTAGACAAAAATCAATAAGCAAAATAATTTACTCCTATTTACTATTGTCACAGTGATTGAGAGGTTAGTTTTCAATTTGAAATGGTTCATTTCCTTTTAGAATATGTGTTTAATTTTTCAATAAATGCTATCAGTTGCGCTAAATTGATAAAAGTTCAAAAAAAAAAAAAATGATACAACTAGAAATACAATAATCAATTGACACAAAGTTTACGTGTATAATTTATCTTAAATTTTGGTATAAACAAGCTTGTTCCATACTAATTTAATGATAAGAGAAATGTTATATATTATCAATTTTTTAAGAAAAATGGTACGAGGAGAAAGTTGATAGGAGTATTTAGAATTTGTTATCTTTTCATGCATTTCCAACGCAAATACTATCATTATAGTTTAGAAATTTATAAATATCATTGTCATATCATTTTGGATTTTTTGGTAAAAAATTCTATTTGTGGAGAATTTTTCCCTAGTTTAATGTATTTGTTGAACAGAAAAGAGAATAAAAGACAGCTTACAAAAACATCAAGAGGTACTTGCAAAAAAAATAAAAATAAATATCAAATCAAATCAATTTCCAAAAGGGTAACTTGGTCTAATGAGGTACATGCAAAAATATTAACTAGTCAATAATGTCAAAATTTCAATGCAAACCGTGTTCTTAGGCTTTTATTTTATTTTCATATGATGCCAAATAGTCATAAATTTTTTATTTTCTTTTTCCAAGATAAAACTCAAATTAACAAACAGAATATAATGTTATAGAAAGAACAACAATAGTGAGCCAAAATTCAGCTTAAACAAACAATAAGATATAGATGAATTCATTTTTTCATAAATAGTCAGTGTAATAAAATTTGAATCACGCTGCATAAGAATAGAAAGTTGATAAACTTATAGAGTAAATATTCTTTCGTTATTTTGATTCATGGAAAACATTCTTTGAGTTATAAAATTAAGTTTTCGGAGTAAACTTACAATTCACTATTTCAAGGTGTTTGATTTGTTAGTGACAAATTCATATCACTCAAAATCAATTGGGCATCATGACTCTCCTAATTTACAGATTAATAGTGAAGTATTAATAATCCTATTAAATTAGTGTGGTATTCATTATCTAATTGGATTAATAATCCTACCCCTACCCCCATTACTAATAGTTCGACAAATTTGTTGGATTAATTAACCATTGGATTAATAATCCTAAACCAAAATATTAAAACAAACATAGGATAATTGGACTCACGGATTAATAATCTCAATCTCATGTTCTAATTCACCCAATCAAACATGAAGGGTTTAGTGCTTGTTTAGCATGCGCTAAAAAAGTACACTTTTTTACATACATACACTTATTTTGGTCACATCAGTCAACATCTCTTCTCTACTTGCTATCAACTTTCTTTACTTTTTTATACATTTTTTTTATAAAAAATTAAAAACTGTACTTATTTAGAATATTCCAAACATCTCTTTAGTTTCAAAGGGAAACTCATGAATTCAACTCTCTCGAAAAACGGAATTGAATTAAGAGAGAAACACTTGATACTTTGCAAGTGTGTGGAAACTAACATTCATAAATGCTAATTTAATAACTCACTTTAGCCAATTAAAAATTTTCATATCACTCAAATGTTCTAAATCAAATGTTTGAGATATTCTAAATAAGTGCACTTTTTGACTTTTTAAAAAATATGAGTTGGGTTTGAAGTGATGTGATAGAGAGGTGATATGACTTAAATAAGATGATGTAATAGGATAGTGATTTTTTAACTTTTTAACTTTTTTAAGACACCCCAAACAAGACCTTAAATTTATTAAATGTAATAATTCTTTCGACATCAAATGCACTAAGCTCATGGATTGGTTAAAATCTTTTTAGATGGAACCTAGACCTCAAATAAGTGCACAAAATGAGACTCGGCGCCAAATGACTCTGAAATTTATAATGACGTGACAATTTTTCTATTAATTTTGAGTTTTGGTAATGTATTTGAATCTTTTGCATTGAACTGAAGGTGAGTGCAAGAATTTGAATCAATTTCCTAACTAGAAGGAAACAAAGATGCAAACAAAAATGGCACCTAGCTAGAAATAAAAAGAAACACAAGAGGATATCACTCCCAAAAGCACAAAAACAAGAAGAGCAAGAAGACCAGGAGCCAGCCATGGCAATCTTTTCTTGCCAGAATATACAGCATCTCTTTAGACGATGAGAGGGAAAGCCAGTGATTTTTTTCAAAAATTGTTCTCTTTCAACTCTCCCATCTTTCCGCACTTCCAACTTTATTTTTATTTTTATTTTTTGAAAAATGATTTTAACTCAGTAATGTGTAAAAGAAATGATTAGTTGATGACAGAAAACACAAGAGACAAAATTATCTTAGATATTTTAATAAACTATCATATCATTGTGCTTGAAAAATGAATCTAACTTTTAAGTTAGAGTAAAACAATTTTTTTTTCTTCTTAATACCAAATTAAAGTATGAATCAAATTCAGTGCCCTTCCCTCCAAATAATTTTAAAAAGGTAAACAAATAAGTGGAGAACAATTGAAAAAGGAAAAGAAATTAAGAGGTGGAGAATGCAGCAGAGGTGAAATGAGATCTCACTTTCAAGAGGGGAAGTGAATAGTCCATTTTTGATATTATAAAAAGACGTAATTGAGTACCTGATTTTTAGATAAACCAGTCTGCCGAGACAACAAATGCTTGTCTGCATCGCTTGGGTACCTGAAAGACACCACAATACAAATATGACATCCTCAGTCTCCATGACCCCAAACCCAAGATACATATCATGATGATGATGAACATGACATTTGAAAAAAACAGTAATCTTCTAATTTTTTACTATTCATTATATTATTTAATTTATCAGTCTAATTGTCAATATTATATTAAAATTATGCATTAATAGTGAGATTTATTACATTGATCTAGTGTTGACAAGTTAAGATGATATGATTAATATGAAATAAAAATATAATATATGAAGTGTTATTTATATATATATATATATATATTTCTTTGAGGTGGCTAGGTAGGTAATTAGTAAAGAAAAATGAGAATATGCAGTGCACTCACTCTTATAGATTTCTTTTTTAACATTTACCATATCTGGCATATTGCTAACTAACCGCACTGCACTGGAGAGATTTGTCAGGTAGTTAATACTCTATTCATTTTGATATTATATATATTAGATATTTAAAGTGCGTGTTCCGTGTCTATGACAAGACAACGACAATTCGCACAAGCCTACCAATTTAATTCTGTTTCTATGAAAAATATAAAGATATTTCTCAGAAATTTTGACATATCTTATACTTAGGATAAATTATGATGGTAGTTTTTATATTTTAATTATTGTGTCATTTTAATTTTTATAATTTTAATTGGTTCAATTTTAATAATAAATTTATGATTTTATCTTAATTTGATCCAACTAATTATAACTATTAGTATTTCTTTATAAAAAATATGTATATAAATATAATGTGTCATATTTTAAAAGTAAAATTATAAATTTACTCAACTTAATAAGTTAACCTCAACAAATTTAGTAATAATTTTCTTTAAAAAAACACTAACGATATTATCAATTAGATCAAATTAACACAAAATCTAAAATTAAGAATTAAAATTGAGTCAATTGAAAATATAGTGACCAAAATGACACAAGAGATAAAATATAGGAACTACTAGTATAATTTACCTTTATACTTATTTACAATATTAAACAATGTCCATCACAAACCTTTATACTTATTTACAATATTAAACAATGTCCATCACAAGACAGAACTTTATAATTGGGAAAAAATAAATAACTAAAAACAGACTCCGATAAGAAAGATTATTAATTTTTACTTTCACGAAAATTGACTCATGATATATCCGTTGAGAGTAAATCATCTAATCCAATTAATTTTATGGACCGGAATTCTTTGTATTCAAATTTTTTGTTCTTTTCTTCTTAATGCACTTTCCATTTACATAATTGTGGTTCAAGATTCACACATTTTAAGATTATCTCACATTTTAGGCAGATAGCGAATTGTTCACGTATATCAATATAATTTAGAATAATATTAGGGATTACAAAAAAAATATCATGAAATACTTTATGAAGATTTTTCATTCTTTGATTAGTGTGTGTTATTTTGTTATATGTGTAATCTAACAGTGAAAAATCTTTTATGATAATTTTTATGATATTTTTTTCATGATTCCTAACATTACTCTATAATTTATGAGAGAGAGAGAGAGAGAGAGAGAGAGTACGGGTGAAGGAAATGCTCAAACAGCCAGGCTCTCAATATGTTAACAGAACGCTCAGGCAAGCCTCTTTGTGGCCTCCAAGCTTCCAACTCCATCATTCCCATATGCAGTGATTTTTGCTGCCTCAAGTTTTGCTCAATCAACCGAAGCCTCGGTGTCTCTCCTTTCGTCAAACAAGACATCCCACCGGCGGTCACATCTTTCTCACCCAACATCTCACAAGTCAGCTTCAATTGCATTGCTATCCCATTCTTAATGCACTTGAAATGCCGCGACATAGCCTTCTGAGCCATGGCTGTGTATGTCAGTGCAGCTCCAAAACCCATCACTGAATCAAATGAGTTTACCATTGTTTGCATCTTTTCACAGTAATGTCTGTACCTTCCATCCACCTGCCGACAAGAAATTTTATGAAGAAAATCGAATCAAATCCAGTGTGATTTAAACAGTGGGACAAACAAAACGCATATTTTATTTTCTTGGTTTGTTGTACCTGAAATGGAAAACCCTAGTTTAACAACAAACCCCCATATTGTATCTTGCTGAATATATATAAGGGCTCAATGAGATTGAATAAAAAAAAAGAAAGGAGAGAGATTATTATCATAAGTATTCAGTATTCATTTGTTAATCTTGATTTTCATGAATCGTAACAAATATAACGTGTACAGAATTCAATTATAGAATTATAAATAATTCTCATATAATAAGGGACTCACACATTTAATGAATCCCAATTTATATAAGAGAATTCTGTTTAATTTTATAATCTGATTTTATGCCACTAAAATGATTGATTATGTATTTGCCGACTTTTCTTTCATTTGACAGGAACCCAAAATAAACTAATGAAATGAAACCATTATTGGAAAAGCTCGTGTTAATAATTTAATTCCTAATGATAGCTGTAAGTTTGTTAAAATGTGAAGAAAGAATAATATAGTAAGAAGGAAAAGAAATGGTCCCCAAGTCAACTAACACAGAAATCATTAGTTTTCTTAGCAGGTGTTGCATTAGATTAGTCTTGTTGGTACGGTCGATCTATTGTGCAGAAACAACCCAATAATAACTACAAACCTAGCTATTATAATTCCTACCTAGGTGTTAGATTCAGTAATTATTAAGTCTAGATCACTGTGACTTCTGTGATAAAAAATTTACAAAAATCATATGCTTGATGTGTGTTGTATTTTTTAATTAATTGAGTATTATATAAATAATATCATATGATATTATGAGATGAATCAACTTTAGATATTTGATAAAAAAAAAAAGAAAAGAAGAGAGTTTATAGTATATGAATTAATTGTGTCAGCAGTAAATTGAGTTTGTGAATCAATTATGAATTAATCGATATAAAGCGATTTTCATACTAACAAAACCATGATTACTACCAGTATGTTACGCTTGAAGTAAATCCAAAAAGCACACTCACAAACACAACGAACAGTAACTCAACTTAGAATTAGTTGCTTGTTAAAATATAGGACAGCTGCTCAGTTTAGATAGGAATCTTATATCCTCAGCCACTGATCCATTGTAAGTAGAAAGACAAGAACTTCAACTAAACTTTGCCTGAATTCGAAGAATATGTGTGTATGAGAGAGAGAGAGAGAGAGAGAGAGAGAGAGGGTACATGCCTCATCAAGCATGGACAATAGCTTCACCTTCTTCCTTTGGTACGCACTCTTATCAGCAGCTGACAAAGTTGGTTGCTCCTTCATGGAAGAAGAACCACTATGTCTATCTGTGTTGGAATTAGGGTTTATATGATGATGCTTCTTAGGTCTCTGATTCTTAAACCTTAACTCTCCCCTTCCAACACAGCAAATCTCTTCCAACAATTCTTGTGCAGCCTTCACAAACTTTGAATTCCTCAAAACATTCACCATCTCCAAAGATGTTCCAAACCCAACATGTACTTGACCATGCCGATCTACTATCCCTTCCAAGTCCAACAATTGTCGCTCGCTTCGCAAATTCTTCGATCCATTAAAATTCAAAGAAGCCCCAACACCTCCTTGATTATTAGAAAAGAAAATTCCACCATTTCCCACCCTTAATTCCTCAAATTTTGCCGCTTCCAACGAAGAACACAACGACAAAGAAAGCCCATGACTCTCCACAGTTCCTCCAATTTTGTTAGTATTATTAGCATCGTCACCGGTATTACCGTGTAGCCAAGTGAACTGAACCGGAGAGTCCTCCTCGCCGCCTTGAACATGAGAATTTGATGGGTTAGAGAACAGCATCTGTAGAGAAGAAGGTGAAGAAAATGGTTTGACACGAGTGTTCATCATGTTCATAGTTGGAAGCTGCAAAGAATTTACTAACTGTGAATTGATGTTCGAAAACTGATCTTGGTTTAAATGCTTCTGTTCTCCTAAACCACCCATCTCCGCCTCGTTTTGTAGCTTTTGTGACCATCTATAATTGGTTTGGATCTGGTTATCGAAGATGGCGGTGGCGGCTGGGGCAAACATTTCAGACAGCATCCCACCACCGGTTTCATACAGCGGTAGCTCACCGGATACTTCTTGTGCCGTTACCACCGGAAGCAGTGGCTCGAAAACTTGCCCTCTGACCATGTGTTTAGTCATGGCGGATCTGTCATACCCATTTGAGAAACTGAAGATTCCTTGGTGGAAATTTTGAGTCGACATCGAATCTTATCGAATTAGGCTTGTAGGGATTGATTTGATAAGTTTTGAGTTGGAGGCGATTGAGTTAACACTACCATCTCAATTTCAATTTCTAGAGCATCCATAAAGCTGAAGCAATTCCTCATAGTCATACAAGCCAAGAAAAGAAATAAATGAAAATAAAGCAACAAGGTGAGAATACTAAGATTTGAGAGGATTTGATCTAAAAAAATGATGAAGTGTTGTAACAAATGATACCTGTTGCAGAAGTGATGAGAAATATCATTTTCTATCTTTGTGATAGAAAAAACCCTATCTGATCTCTTTCTGTGTATGTATGTGTTGATCTTTGTTTGCTCTTAGTGTTCCAAAACCTTGTTGAAGACAAACTGGGGACTGATTTCTTAATCAGAAACAAGCAAGGGAGATTGATAACGATAGGAGAAGGGAAAAGGTCGTCCTCTTCCTCTTCAGTTCACTCTCTTCCTCCCTTCACTTTCACTATACTTACTGTATATGTATTATTATATGAATTCTCACTTTTTATTTATGACTAGTCTGGTTGTTCTTTCTCAGTCAATTTTTTTTTATTTTTTTAAATAGCAATAATTCATGAAATATATGTGGTAACACTATAAATTTAGAAATTTTATCTTGAATTTTACTTAGAAATTTTAATTTATAGATTAAATTCATTCCAAACTTTGACTCACACTTCGCCAATTCAATTTACACCGCACAAATAAAATATCCACAAAAATTTGGATGATTTTTCTGAGATGATAGCATTTCTTTTTTTTTTGATCATCAAGAAGAAATCTTTATTGATGAAATCATAAAACGAGTACATCAATAAAGAAGAGCTCGAAGCTACATTAAGCTCGGAGGAGAGAATCCAACACAAAGGAAAAACCAAAGAGAAACAGAAACAATATACACAGCATGAGAGCAATCTAACAGCATACACCAGAATAAGCAGATTGCACACCCCAACAGGTAGCTCACCACTCAGCACCCAAACCTGAAGCAGAACCAAACTAAATCTGAAAGCTGACTATCGACATTGCAGCTAACCATCAAAAATTGCAGCAAACAAACCTTCATCTCCAACCCTTTGCACCACAAAAACTCTTGAGAGCTGAAACAGCAAGACTAGCAAAAAAATAGATTGAGAGCCATCTAAATAGCAGGGGAAATTTATACAGATCAATCAGTAACAATGGTTAAAAGAACTGAATTCCTATAGAGAAGTAAAGCACACATCAACTTCTATCTATCCAACCAACACCAGAACATAAAGACAAGATTGCAAAAACTAAACTAATTGAGACTATACTGCACAGATTGAGACAAAACTCTGCTGATTAGCATGCCAACCAAGAGTATTCTGCAGTAGGACTAGTAAGAAAAAATAGGCCTCCTCCTATACTTCACTCTCTGGAACCACCTCCCAAACTGAATCTGATACCCTGTAGATTAAATATGAAATCATGAACTGACAGCATATGTTCCTTAAATACTTCCTTAAACCACATATCCATTTTTAACTTAATCAGATCCGTAATTCCATCCACACTTGGGATAACCTCCTAAAATAAACATTCATTCCGATGTTTCCATAGAGACCACATCACAACAAGAGGAAGGGCATTACACATCATTCTTTCCTTTTTGTTAAGACCCACCCCTGCCCACCATTCAAGCATGTCCTCCACTGAGGTTGGCAGTGCTCCTTGAATCTTCCACTATCTAATCATTTCATACCACACTCTCCAAGCCACTAGACATAATAAAAGCACACGTATGAGAGACACAGCTCCAAATTTACATAGACAACACTCTACAGATGCACCAGCAGGCAGAGCACCAATCCTGTGCATAAACTCAGTTGTCTTTAGTTTTCCTTTCCAAGCAAGCCAACCAAAAAATTGCACTCTAGGTAGGACATGTTTAACCCAAACCCTTTTGCTAGCTGTGCTGCTATTTCTGGATCCCTCAACCAAAAGCATGTACATAGATTTAACTGAAAAAATTCCAGATTCCGAGGCTTTCCAGACAAGAGTATCTTCTGAGCAACACCTAAGATTAGGACCTGCCTCAATCTGACTCACCAACCTGATTAATTCCACTATTTCCCAGTCAAACAGCGCCTTTCTAAACTAAAATGACCATTCACCAGCTTCCTCCTTCCTGATCATCATATCAGATAAAGTCACTCTCCAGTCAAACAGCGCCCTTCTAAACTGAAATGACCATTCACCAGCTTCCTCCTTCCTGATCATCATATCAGATAAAGTCACTCTCATATCAACTACTACCCTGTACAACAGTGGAAATGCATCTTTAAGGCTCAAGTTTTCACACCACTTATTCGTCCAAAACTTGATTCTATGGCCATTACCCACTTTCACCTTACAATTGTCCAGAAAACTTACCACTAAACTGCTACTCTGCACAGATTGTAATAATATATCCTTTTACATTTTAGAACATCTCACATTAGAGATTACTTGAGGGCTTCAACTCCCCTCCTCAATCCTATATTTACTACTCAAAACTCTCCTCCACAAAGCTTTATTTTCCACTCCAAATCTCCACCACCATTTTAACATAAGGCAACTATTTACTTCCGTCACTCTCCTAACCCCCAAGCCCCCTTGGTCTAGAAGCTTCGCCACTTCCTTCCATTTTACTAGATGAACCCTCCTCCTCAATTCGGATCCCCCTCACAGGAAAGAAGCTTGCAGCTTATCTAATTCTCTGGCAATCCCCTGTGGCAACTTAAACAATGACATATAGTATATAGGTAGCGAGGACATGACACAAATTTGATTAAAACAAGCCTCCCAGTAAATGACAACAGCTTCCTTTTCCAGCCAGCTAGTTTGCTTCTGAATTTGTCTAGTATAGGCCGCCAAGTCGCTTTCCTACTTGGGTTAGCCCCCAGCGATAAACCGTGGTATTTGAACAGCAAACATTTAACTTCATAGTTTAGCACTGATGCGTACTCAGACATTTCCTCTTCTAGAATACCCACACCACTAATTACACTTTTATAGTAATTTATCTTCAACCCTGATAACAACTCAAAGCACCTCAGAATCTTCTTTACATTCTTTATCTCCATAACATCAGCTTCACACAATAATAAAGAATCATCTGCAAACTGGAGATGAATTCCCATCCGAGCCAATCCTAACCCCCTTTATCAGTCCCAGATCCAAAGCTCTATTGAACAAAATGCTTAAGCACTCTGCAGCTATGATAAACAAAAATGGGGACAAGGGGTCCCCTTGCCTCAGTCCTCTCTGTGGACTGAACTCCTCAGTAGGAGATCCATTAACAAGCACCGAAAGCCTAGCTGAGGTAATACATACCTTAATCCACTCCACCCATTTTCCCCCAAACCCAAAATTAACCAGCATGGATAGTAAGAAATCCCAATTCAATGAATCATAAGCTTTCTGGAAATCTAACTTAATAATCACTCATTTCCTTCTAGATTTCTTCCAACTGTCAACAACCTCGTTGGCCACCAAAACACCATCCAGAATATTCCTCCCTCCAATAAAAGCTGATTGGTTTTCACTTACGATCTAAGGGATCACTACCTTCAGCCTTTAGGAAAGAACCTTAGACATAATTTTATACATCGAACCAACCAAACTGATAGGTCCATAATCCGCCAACCCCATTGGATTCTCGTTTTTAGGTACCAAGGTGATGAAAGAGCTATTAATTCCTTTGACCAACCTACAATTCTTATGGAAATCAAACACAAAATTCAGCACATCAGACTTCATTACCTTCCACAGTTTTTTAATGCAAGCCAAGTTAAAACCATCTAGACCTGGAACCCTATTCCCATCACAACCCTTGACAACATCCCATACCTCTGCCTCAATAAACTCTGCCTCCAGCATATCAAAACAAGGACTATCCCTCACTGACTTAAATGGACCTACCAATACAGGCCTATTATGCCAATCCTTAGCGTACTGCTTCCGAAAATAAGCTAGGACCTCAAGCTTGACTCTACACGGATCATCAGCCACCACATCACCAACAGTTAGAGTATTGATTTCATTACGCCACTGCCTATATTTCACTAACACATGAAAATATCTTGTGTTTTTATCACCATAAAAATTTCAGTTAAGCCTCGATTTTTGGAACCACAACCTTTCCACCATTCTTGTTAAATATCCAGCTTCAACTCTAGCCTCTCTTCTTCTACTTCTTTCTGCCTCTTTAAGCTCTCTTTCCTCTGCTAACAAATCAATCATATGAAGCTCCTCCTCTACCTTCTTCAACTTGATATTTATATTACCGAACACTTCACTATTCCACTTTTTGAGTGTTAATTTCAACTCTTTCAGTTTCTGGAATAAACTAAACCCAGCCCACCCCTCCACCTGATGCTCCCTCCACCACTTTTTCACAAAAGGTAAGAATTTTGGGTGTAACATCCAAGCATTAACAAACCTAAAGGGCCTAGGGCCCCAATCTCTCTCATCTTCCATAAGCAGTAAAGGACTATGATCAAACAAGACTCTAGGAAGTCCCCATAACTTCAAATTAAATGATTCCACCCATCTTGGATCCACCAAAACCCTATCAATTCTGCTTCATTTCTCCCCTTCCCTAGCATTACACCATGTAAACCTGCGACCTAATAAAGGCAAATCGTTCAACTCACTTCTATCCACAAAATCATTCAACTCCTTCATTCCCTTATCCCTCCTAGAGCAGCCCTTCCTCTCACCAATCTTTCTAATTTCATTAAAGTCTTCCCCTATATATCAGGGCTTAGAATACTCCTCCTTTAACTTTAGAAGACACTCGCACAGTTTACCTCGTTAGCCCACTTCATTTGGTGCATACACATTGATCAAGACACAATCAAAAGAAAAGAACAAAGACCTAGAGAGGAGAACAAACCTTCTATTATAGCAGCAACTTGACATCTGAAAAACTCCTGGATCCCAAATGCATAATAGGCCACTAACAGAGCCCTCAGCATCCACAATCATATATTTTATTCTATCCCTAGCCCACATCTCTTTGATCTCCATTTCGGACATGGAGGCCTTCTTTGTTTAAAAGAGCTATATCAATACCTCTATCCTTCAACAACCTCTTAATTTTACTTCTTTTTTCCTTTCTCCCCAAACCTCTGACATTCCATGTTCGTAGCTTCATCATAACCATTTATACTAAACTCTGACCCCCCAAGATCTAATTAATCTGCAGGGACTACATCCCCTCCCCTTCTTGCTCTATCCTTTGCCTCAAGGTCCAAGATTTTGGTCATCACTTCCTCTTCTTTACCTTTAAAGTTTATACCCAAAAGCTTTCCCATCTGAATAGTTTCTTGAGCCTCTTTAACCAATGATCTGCTTCTAGCTACTTCACTAGCTGTTGAATCTGTACCTGATGCTGCCGCAGCTGCTGCTCTCCATATAGCTCCTTTCGGTCCCAATTTAGTTGAAGATGCTCCTCTATGATTATGG